CAACTCCAGCCCTGGATATTTCCCACCTGCCACACGCGTCCTATATGTTCATAATGTCTTCTTCGACGCGACGAACATGGTGCAGCGACATTGAGAAAGGGGACCTGACTAGTGGTTAGACAACGGGAGCTAATGCTGCCCTGCAAGGATAGCGATGTCTTGACAGGCCTGTCGAGCACCCTTCTAGAAAAGACATCATGCACCCATGTACAGCTAGATGAAGAGGAAAAAGCAAATTCTCCCATTTGAAGCGATTGTGTACAAATGAATGGACGGCTGGAACATGAAGAGCTGGAATCTTTTGTCGCGTATCGAATATTACGGGCTGCACTGGCACTGTCCGCCATCGCCAGTAGTTCCGCCCACGAAAACGACTTGTACGGAGGTGAACCTAAGTCTGTCAGCAAAAGCGTCTACATCCAACAACAGGAGACTCACGCTGCGGTGGCTGCAAATATCTCGACCGGACGTGCCGTCGTGAAGATAGCCAGAACAGATGCGAATACTCCTGAGAAAGCTGCAACAGCTGCGATTCTGTAGGGAAGGTTGTTGATCATATACAGCGCAACGATAGCAGTTGAAGGTATGATGGCAGAAAGTACCACATTCAGTGCTCGAGCGAATCGGTGGAGGACTTCTAACTTGACGCGGCCTATACCTGTCTCCTCTGATCCCGCCATCGGCTCCTGATTTGCGAGTGTGAGCGCAGTGGAAGTGGAGGTGGATACGATACTTACTAGCATCATTTTCCGTAAACGAGTCGGCAGATGTGGTATCAGACTCATCTCTAGCCACCGCATGAATTTATCGTTGGAAGGCCGGCTGGAGATGGATATCAGATCTTGATTTTCCAGCTCGTCGTACGCTCGATATTCACAGCCTTCGAGAAAGCTTTTGCCGCCTTTTTGGTGCTGCAACCAGACTCTCAACCACTTTTGATCATTCTTGGTGGCGCGATCTAGTTTTGCGATGTTGGCTTGTTGGAGCAGACAGTCATCAATCCAAACGTAAGTATTCAACCTGATCATCTAAAGCGTGGTAGAGCCATACTGTACTCTTTCAATTTCCCCCTAATCTCTAGGACTTTCTCCCATTGAGGGCTATCGGGTGGCTTCCTCATCTCCCATACACTCCTGGCGAAGTTCTTCGTACTAGGATCCGTTCCATGCTCGTCGACATACGTAATTACGTCTAGCTCTTGTTGCAAACAAAGCAACTCAGCTTGCATATACAGCAGGCTGCGGGTGTTGAGTTCGGCAAACTGCTTGAAGATTCCTAGTCCTTGGTCAAGATTCTGTTCCATGAATTTAGCAAGTCCCGGGTAGCCATTCTGGATCTGGTCGAGTAACATCGTGGTCATCGTTAGTTCTCCGATGAGGTAAATCGAAGCGATCGAGAGGGCCTGGGTTAGTTAACCCCGCCTTCTTGGCTTTGTGGTGACGGGATTCAGCCTTGCAGCTTGCAGTCAGCCGTGCAGTCAACCTGCTTGGCACATGCACACTAGTTGTGCTTTTTTTCAAGCCCGACGTCGTCTTGGGCTGACTTCTACTTCTCTATGCCGTTGAAATTTCTGCCCGAAAACCTTCGTCGAGCTCTGGGATGTTTTAAGTATACCATTCGCGCTTTAGTTTTTTCTCACGATATGCGGTACTCAACAAACCAAAAATCGATTAGAATAGGCCAGAGGTACAATGCGACACGTTGTTACTGTGGGCTATCACAAATGGATCTCCCAAGATCTACCTACTACCAAACGTCAACGGCAACCTCTGCAGCTGCTAGTGTCTACCGTGGTTTACCACACGAATATCCTCAAGCGACCCCATGCGCCTTGGATTCCACCGCGAAGTGGACCCAGAGTAAGTCTCGGATGTCTTTCAGTACGCTATCTAACATGAATAGATGATCGAATGGCATACGACAACCAGCATGAGATCGACCGGAAGAAAGCTCGGCAGGCGGAGCTTATACAGATCGCAGATATAATGGGCCAGCAGCAGCGGGTAGCTCAAGCACCACGAGAAAGCCAAGCACATCCGAGGCGGAGTTTGCCATATACATCTTATCCACAGCAAGGAAACCAAACACCGCGAGGAGATCCATCACCGTACGAAAATCAATCACTGCAACAACACCGATCATCGCAATCGAACCGCCAGTCGCAAGGCTACCAACAGCGCCAGAGCTCAGATTGGCAACAACCAGCAGAAGGGGAACAGCCAATAGGATGGCAACAAGACCAAGATGGTCAACATTACCGACAGGCCTATGACGACAACGGTATTTAATCTCCAGATTTAGGGAATGAGCCGGTAGCTGACGTCACGGAACTAGCTCAGCAGTGGTATATACAGTGGTGGAACTATAACGAGGGCCGGGCATATCGCGTTTTGACCGACGGTTATAGTAAGTACACCCCCTCTCTGGATCGGCGTATTAGCCAGTTTATTGACACATATAACAAGGTCAAACCCGCACTGAGTGGGTATAGTCGAGCATGATCTGGTGCAGCCTGCTTCACCGAGAGCTGAGGCTTAGCCTTGTCGTACATACACAACTAGAATTCTGATATACAGTCTACTTCCCCCCCTGATTAAAATTCATACTATACCCCCCACTCCCCTCATCCTTCGTAAACTGAAAATTCTCCGTACTCAACCCAAACGGCTTGAGTATCCCATTCCCCAACTGCTTCAACTTGCCCATCATATCCGCCATCTCCGTATTCTTCGCTTCATCCAACTGACTTGGTAGCTTCCTTAAAGCGGCTTGTACGGCTTTCTGGTCGAGGCTCGAGAGCTGGTGGGGCGGTTTGGAAAGCGCTTGGTAGTCTTCTAGGGAGCCTTGGAGCGAGGCCCAGCCACCGACTTCGTGTCGGGCTTTTGCGCGGCGGAGGAGGGCTTTGGTGCGGAGCTTGTGGACGTCGTTTATGGTGTGGTGTGTTCGGGTGAGAGCGGAGAGGTAGAGTTCGGTTGTGTCGTCGATTTCGGCGATTGCGCCGCCGCCTGTTGTTTCGTTCGCGCCATCTTTTCTGGGGTCTCTTTGTGCTGGTGGGTCTATACGGTCTAGTGCTTCAAGTGCTTGGGTCGCGGATTCTACGGCTTGTTTCCATTCTGAGAGCTTGAGGTGGCAGGCTGCGATGTTGGAGCGGAGGACGGCGATGTCGTATTCGAGGTATGAGGGGCAGACTGCTAGGGCTTTTTCGTAGCCTTGTATCGCGCCGTTGTATTCGCCGGATGTGAAGGTTTTGTTCGCTGAAGCTTTCTCTGTGTTGGACTCTTCAAGTAGCTTTTCCTCCTCGTCTGGAGGGAAGATTTCCAGTGTTGAGAGCTCGATCGCAGATGCGTCTGCTCTTGTCGCTGTTTCTTCCTGTGATGCCATTCTAACTTAATTCCAAAGTAGAACTGACGCGTAAATTGTGTATGGGTTATGCGGGTGTGTTTGGAGAAAAGGTCGATCTGTTTTCGAAGTGACGTCTGCAGTCAAGGGTCCGACTAGCGTGCCTCGGCCACGTGGGGTAAACATTCACCCAACCCCAACTTTCGAGGAGCCCCAATTGAACCTGCACAACACCTTGACACGGCCGAAAGTTCGATTACAGCCCCCTTATATACACTCAAGATGAGCTCTACGTAAGCAACATCCTCAAATATAACACTCACCCATACTAACCATCCTCAGTACCACCCCACCACCCCGCATCCGCGCAGCGCTCTTCGACATGGACGGTAAGCCACCCATCACTTCCCCCTCACCACCACTAACAACTCTCCCAGGCCTCCTCATCGACTCCGAAGACCTCTACAGCATAGTAACCAACACGATCCTCGAACGCTACGGCCGCCCGCCCCTCCCCTGGTCCGTAAAAGCACAACTGCAAGGACGCCCTGGGCCTCAAGCCGGCAAGATATTCCACGACTGGGCGCAACTCCCCGTTTCGCACGAGCAATTCCTGGTCGAGCAAAAAGAGCTCCAGAAAGATATCTTTTCGACCACGAAGCCGTTGCCGGGGGTTATGGACTTGCTTGCAGGGCTGAAGTCCAGAGGCGTACACATGGCGCTGGCGACGAGTAGTAATAAGAACAACTTTGAGATTAAGAGTAAGCATTTGGGGGATTTGTTTGCACACTTCAAGAAGGAACATCAAGTCCTAGGCGACGACCCAAGAATACCTGCCGGACGCGGGAAACCCGCACCGGATATCTACCTCCTCGCCCTCTCCACACTCAACAAGTCCCTCGAGGCAGAAGGCCAACCACCCATCCAACCAGAAGAATGTCTCGTCTTTGAAGACAGCGTGCCGGGCGTTGAGTCGGGGAGGCGGGCTGGTATGCAGGTTGTGTGGTGTCCGCATCCGGAGTTGCTGGTGGAGTATAAGGGGAGGGAGAAGGAGGTGCTGGCGGGGCTGACGGGCGAACATAAGGAGGACGAGGAGAAGCAGTTGCAGAAGAGTGAGGTGGAGGTGACGCAGGGGAAGAGGAAGGTTGGTATGCCGGGGGAGATTGACGATGGGTGGGGGAGGTTGCATAAGAGTTTGGAGGACTTCCCGTATGATAGTTATGGGATGGATAGTAAGGCGTGAGGTATAGAAGTGGGCTTATTTACGCTTCTCAATGAGGAGTGTGGAGCAGTCAGTGGGCCGATGCGTGTACTATACATGTGAGAAACATTTCCAAATGTAACGGAGTCTTGCATCGTATGACCCTGCATTTTGCAATCTAGATTCAGTCATGAAAACATGATTCGTATTCTTTTGTCATATACTCCATGATGTGATCATTAACCCGCACTGCGCACCAGCACGCTAGGATAGGACTCGGAAATACGCAAGCGACCTATAGATGCAACCTCTCTTCTCCATCTTTCAGTCAAAGGTATCAGACTCCAACCCCTCTTGCCTCAAAGAGATTGAGGCAGAAACGCCGGTCACCAGTCATGCGCGCCATGCCCACCCAATCAATCTCGTGCAGTCATACGCTTGTCGCAAGAAGATGGAGCAACTACGCCACCTCCTCAATCTTGGGCTTGTCGCCTGATGGGGCGGCCGCCTCGGGGGTCTTGTCCTGGCTGGCCTTGTTCTCGTCGTCGTTCTCGAGTTCGGGCATGTCGTCGTCATCGTCGTCGCTGTCGTCTCCGCCCATGCCGCCCATACCGGGCATGCCTCCCATTCCGCCGGCACCGCCCATACCCTGCATCATGCTGGCCATGTCCATGCCCTCCATTCCGGGCATACCACCGCCGCCAGCGCCGAGCTTGCTGAAGTCGATGCCGCCGAAGCCACCGTCGCCACCGCCACCGCCGGCCATTGGGTTCATCTGGTTCATAGACTCGTCCTCGGGTGCCTCGTCTTGCTCGTCCTCGTCGACCCACTGTAACGAGTTAGCGTACTGCTCTTGAATGTTCCGATATCGCTCAGCCTACCTTGTCGAAGTTGGTCTTCAGGAAGTGCATCTTCTTGGTGTCCTTGAGCAGGCGGGGCCAGAACTCCTCCTTCATCTCCTTCTTGCGCAGTACCATTGTGACATCGCGACCGCTGTGGCTTATCTTGGACTCCTTGGGGTCGATCTCGGCGAAGAACTCGAGGTCGATGGCGTATGTGCACTTCTTGGATGTTGAGGTACCCTTGAAGCTGAGTGACTGCTCCTTGAGGTCTAGCTTGAGATCTGACTCGGGTACATCGGCGGCGACGATGGTGAGGTACACGTAGTTCTTCTCCGGGTCATCGGCGGATGAGCGTTGCGCCCAAGTGACTGTCGCGCGTTAGCATCTGTCGAGTATAGTGGTTGCAGGCTCTGAAGATGGTATATATCGGTCGCGAAAGGCGGTGCAAGGCGCACGTGGAAATGAGGGCTGGGAGCGGACGAGCAGCCATGTGGTGCGCTCCGATAACATCTCAGAGCTTGCATAGCGGGCAAGGCTGCAGCTTACCTTCGGGAGTGACAGTGGACATGTTGAGGGTGGTAGTTGTCTGTTGATGTTTCCAATCGAGTTCGGAGGGTCGTGCAGGATGTGGGAGTGGTTTTACGGGGAGTGTGGTGTGTAGTTGTGGTGTAGTGTTTGTGTTGACGAAGCAGATTGAAGGTGGAAGAAATGCAGTATGTGGAGGGACTAGCGTGGAAAGCAATAGAAGCTCTATGGAAACTTGGAGTTGAGGGCCCCGGTTTTGGACGATCAATTACGGAAAGCAACTCGCAGGAAGATGCAGCGGCAGATTCGATAGGTGTCTTAGATGCGCCTTGCTGTCTCTCCCAGTGCTGCGTCGAGGCAATGCTGGATCATGTGCTTGGGGCTAGTGGGTTGTTGCGACTGCCCCGCGAAAGAGCTCAACGTCACAATGGGCCCGAGCTCGATCCTGGAGCGGTTGCAAGGCACCCGAACAACGCCTCGGGACCCTTACACGTGCACATGAGCTCTTGCTTTCTGCATTCCACCACAAATCACTGCGCCGTATTGTACCAACACACTGCCACCGCAACCACATTAGACAAGTCGACGAGACGCGCTATCTGAACACCTTCACCGACACCCGCGTTATCCGCATCCACTTGCACATACATCACCTACCAAAAGCGTCAGGCAGTTCAATCGCGCAGCGCACACCACATTGAGCGCCCACCATGGAGACCATCAGAGGTCTCCTGTGGAAGCCCACACCCGAGGAACAAGTACCTACCCTCCCCCATCCCCTCCAATCCTTACCCTCTAACCCTCCCCCAGAAGCGCAAATGCAACGCCCTCGTCCGCCAAAACGTCCGCAAACTCGACCGCGACATCCAACAACTCAAAGCCACGGAACAAAAAACCAAAACCCTCATCCAGCAATCCTCCAAACGCGCCGCCCGCAACCCATCCATGGCCAAGCAAGCCAACCAAGACGTCCGCATCTTCGCCCGCGAGCTAATCCGCGTCCGCAAGCAAAACAACCGCCTCATGACGTCCAAAGCGCAGCTCAACAGCGTGCAGATGCAAGTCAACGAAGCGTTTTCGGTGCGGAAAATAGAAGGGAGTATCAAGGCGAGCACGGGCATCATGAAGGACGTGAATAGCCTCGTCAGGTTACCCGAGCTGACGGGCACGATGCGCGAACTTAGCTCTGAGCTTATGAAGGCGGGGATTATTGAGGAGATGCTGGATGATACGCTGGGCGAGAATGAGATGCTGGAGGGTGAGGCGGATGAGGCTGAGGAGGAGGTGGATAAGGTGTTGAGTGAGGTGCTGAAGGATCGGTTGCCGCCGAGTAAGGCCAAGGAGGAGGAGTTGCCGGCTGCGCCGCAGGCGGAAGAGGAGGAGGAAGAGGATCAGGCGGAGATGTTGGCGCAGATGCGGGGACGGCTGGAGGCGCTCAAGAGCTGAGTGGGATGGGGTTGTATATACGGGCATCTTTTGGGGTTTTAGACTAGACAGAGCGTGCGTGATGCGCTGATTTGGTGTTGAGGCGTACTATAGGAGCAGTTGCATACCCCTAAATCTGAAGTGCGGACACGACGGCACAGTCCATCTGTCGTAGCAAGCATGATCACCACATTTCTGTCAGGGTTTACGTGGTAGCAACATCTCTTCGTTCAAAGCGCGCGAACGCGAGCCATGACGCCATGTCAAACTACATGTCTCATAACGTGTTTGGTATCAATTCGTAATCAGTCGTCCCCCCACGCACATGCATCCACCCACAACAATGCTTTCCACCAATCCATCATGACAACACTATTCATCTCCTCAGTACATAATTCCACAACAAAGGAGGCTGAAACCCCCACATACGCATCAATCAATCTCCCCTGATAATCTTGCCAACAAATTTCAACTCCCATTCCTTGGGATCCTCGCCTGCAAAGCGCGCATTTGCCTTCTGATCTAGCATCTGTATTGTCACAGCAATGCCATCGTACCACTCCCTTACTTTACCAGCCGTGTCCTCGCTCCACACGGTGAGCACGCCGTCTAGACTATGGGGCGTGGGTTTAGGAGGGACGCCGCGCATCTTAAGAAGCATGTTGAGGATGTCGCTGAACTTCTCGCCTTGCTGGGAGAGCAGCGACGGGGACTTGTCGAGCGGCCATCTGGGATTACGGGGCGCTTGGTGGGGAGGGAGGTCTAGTTGAGGGGCCGGTGGCGATGAAGTAGATTGTAGAGCTGTGGCTAGATCGTTGTCAGCGCTGGGTGGGTGTTTGAATGCGTCGTCGGCATCTGGGGCGGGTAGATTGGTGGACGGCATTTCCCAGGAGCGGAATAGCCAACACATGCGCTCTACACAGGCGAGGAGGATGACGGCGACGAGGAAGGTTTCGAAGGGATTGGCTTGTTGACGCTGGAGGAGGCGTCGTTCCAGGTCATTCATTACGATGCGTGCTAGACAAGCGGCTCGCTTCTCTGTCGCGCCCATGAGCTGTGTAGTGATAAGGCTGTAGGAAGATTCGTGCTCGAGGGGCGTGATGGGCGTGCGAATAGCGTCCTCCATATCTCCTGGTGCCAATGTAGATGGAGTGATGGTAGGCGCGAGCGAGGGATTTGAAAAGAGAAACCATTCAAAGTTCCGGGACGTGAGCACGCGCGTGAGATTCCAGAGTTCTAGAGCCTTTGATATTAGTCCATCTGCGCTTGACGATGCAACGCTCTTGGCGGTCTGTACAGTCATCCTCATGAAGTTCGAGTCTTCGGTATCGGCAAAGTGGCCACCCATCTTCTTGATATAGTGATCTAGCTTCCCACTGACATCGTCATCACTGTCTATGAGTTCGAGATCCGGAGTAGCTAGTCCAGCGAAGATCGCAGGATCGATGTCCGCGTTTTGCGCTGTCTGCGTCTGCTGACATTTCAGCGGCGTGAAAGTAGCAAAGATACCGGAATGAGGGAAGTGGGTTGCTTCTATGCGCCCCGGGGTCTGGTCGAGCCGTATCTGGCCCTTGGCTTGATTCGTTGCATGGAATGCTAACACGCTATGAAGACCTGCAGAGTAGAGACCGAACTCTTCTGCAATCCTTGTTCTGATACATGGCTGTTTCCATAATCGCGCACTCTCGACGTTCTGACAGGTGTTGCATGGATTGTCGCCAGAACATGGCTTTTTGAGCATGCGACACCGAATGCACGCGCCTCGCTTGCGCACCTCCTGTACTTCTTTCCGTCTAGAGTCTGTGAAACGACCCCTGACCTTGGGCTTAGCCGGCTTCTGGTTCATGCTGAAGTCGGTGGTGAAGTGGGTCTGGTTGCCTGGACTCATTGCAAGTGGTCGTTGATGGCTCATTCCCTTGTTTAACTGATCGTTCGCGTGCATCTGCTCCTTGCCATGGTCTTGTAGCATTGGGTCCAGTGAGTTGGGCTGTATGTTCGGCCAATGTCCTCGTCCTTGGGGATGGAAGAACTTGCCGTCTGACATACCCTGCATACCATGCGCTGAGAGATTCATGTCCGACTCCATAGGCATACCATTTGACAGCGGCATGAGGTCATTCGCTGCTGATGCTGCCATGACGAGCGACGGAACCATGTGCGACATCGATCCAGAGCTTGACAGAGGCATATGACCCATGTGTGGTGAGGCAGTTGGAGAGTGATGCAACGACCCATTGAACTGGTACATGGAGGGCATTGCTGGCGCATGCGACATGTCCATCCCATGTGAGAGGCCGCCCATATCAGTGCCATCGGGCCGGTCATCCTGTATCAAAAACTCTTCCAAAAGCCCTGCATGGCTCGCATTGTTGTTATGGTTGTGATTGCCATGGTTGTTGTGGGCCTGCGACGGCTGCTTCTCTGCCATGCGCTTCCCAGAGAGGTCCAGATGTTGTCGCGACACCTCCGCCAGCGTCTCAAGCGCAGACAACTGCTTCGACGGCGCAAAAGGGAGATTCATCTTCTGGCCATGCTGCATCTGGCTCGGTCCGGGTGCGTTGGTGGTGGCCGTCTGCGTCATATTGTCGGGGAGTGGCAGCTCGTGCATCTGCAGCAGCGCGCGCTGGCGGTCTTGAAGCGGTAAAGCGGGACATTTCTTGACGAGATGATTCGTGAGGCTGTCTATGCGACCTTTGGGAAACTGCTATGTGTAAGCTATTATTGCTCACTCTACACCGTCAACTTTTTTGCGGAGCGGGGTCACTCACCTTTTCGCCGCACGACTTGCACGTGTGCTGGTAGCGGTTGCTTGCATCTTCCAGCTTGGGTCCGCGCTCGAAGTACTCGAGAATCAACTGGTTGGGTCGACGACCCATGATGGGCCCAAAAGTTGCGTTCAATTGTGTGGTGGGTGACGAAAGATTACTGCCGGAAGTATTTGGCGGTCAGTAGCCGGCGGTCCAAGAAAGCTGAGGTCTCCTATGGTTGGTCGGTCCGTTAGCCCTCATCTGACATCATAACCCATCGTTCACTCGAGCTTCATAATTATCACTATTGCGCCAGTGCTATACCTAGATGTCTGAAATTGATCATTGGCAATCATTTTCACGTATCTGAACGATGCGTCGATGGTTGAATGGTGACAGCGGACAGCTCGCGGATCTTCAGCAGGAGACCACACGTCACAAGCCGCAAACTCACTAAGCCAACGAGATGAATAGAGCGCAGGTGCATAGAGACACACATGATGCATCGCTGTATGCCAGGTTTCGGCCTCGAAAGATCATGGACGCGTTCCTGACTAGACACGCGACTAACCAGGATGCAACGCGCCCTGCATGCGTATACATACGGAGCGAGTCAGGAGAGGTCGATGCTTCCATCTGATCCAAGATCAGCTAGGCTTTTGTCATGACCGCATGATCAAAATGGCGATTTCGCTCTCTTGGACTTTCTTTTTGGGTAACGAAATCATGACGTCCGCACTAGTCACGCCAAGTCAAGTAGACTGGAATATGGACTACGACATCGACATATCCAGATACATGTAAACAAATCCCTAATTCATATCTACGCCCAAGACCTCCCATCCGCCCTATGCAAACAACCCATTGAACC